GTGCTTATTCATATTCCCATAAACTAACAGCAACACTGATTGTTTGAAATGGAAGCATCTTGAGGCTGAATTCATCATTCCGCCGATTAATACCATTGGGTTTGAAACCACATCTTTCAAAACTTGCAAGCGCTGGTTGAATTTCCTTCGTGGTGTGTGGCACAGTGTGGGTTTTGAAGCAGGCAATTCTTCCGAAAAAATCATCTCCTGCTTCGGCCTCTTTAGCTTTCGAGCAGCAGCCACCTGGCAGCAAAACACCCACACTTTCACTTACCTGCACCTCCAAGAGGGCTGGTTATTGGCTTGATGCTACTCCACCATGAGCCGTGGGCTTTTGGCATCTCCAACACAGAGTACATCATGATTACACTCTTACTTTCAATCCGGCAACCATCACTTCGCATCACGACCTCGCTATCACGAGGTGAACCTGATGCCCAGTTGCGAAGCTATCCAGTTCATGAAGGGGTTCTTTCCACAAACGTGCATGTCTTCCTTCCCCTGTATCAATGGCCCAGTCCTACATGGAAGGCTGGAAGCATGGGCACCACTGGGCAACGCTTTTCCTATCGTTTCCTCATTCTCACTGACATGATTGTCCCAACGTGCTTTGTCGAAGGAAACAATTCTGCATATCATTCTGCGGTTCTCACCCAGAGAGGAGGGAACAAAAATCACACATGGAGCTTTCAGCAGGTGCTGTATTAGACTTCTCACATCAGTTTTTCTGCAGAAACAAAAGACACATAAAATCACAGCCCAAAGGAAAGCCACCAAAAGGATACAAACAACTCCAAAAATAGAGGACGCGCGTTGAGCAACCAGATGTGTTTCTTGACGTGACCGGTGGAAGAGTTTCCACGTGACTGGCTTCCTGAATGGACATCAATGGCCACAGTAGACTCTTGATTTTTGATGTATATTTCAACCCCCAAACCTGAACAGGTTTTACAATCCATGTCTGCAGGGTTGTATTCATCAAGAGTCCACCTTGCATGCAGTGGTTTCGGCCTGTGTCTAGAAGTCACAGCAAAGAAACCGTCAGCAGTTGCTTTAAAATTGTCCACTGAAACCACAACCCTCCAATAAAACAAAAAACAAACAAACATCAAAAAACACCACCCCTCTGAAAAGTTAACTCCCTCCCTGCCTGATCAGGACAGCGGCAAATGCTAAGAACTTCAGGAGCCTGAGACTGCGCGAGGGTGTCGGTCAAACACTTGCAAGAACAAGTACAGTAATGTGAAAAGAGGCGAGGCGTCCCTGATTGCCTCGTGGGACATCTGTAAAGAGGGGAACACAAGAAAACAACAACACTGCAAGGAATGCCCGACAACTGGACAAACAATGAATGTTTTTGGTTGGGATTGGTTCACTCACTTTAGCTTCAGATCTCGCAGCTCAGCGGGACGCTATGAAGTTCCAAAGCTGAGAAACTCGCATCAACCGACCCATGGCGGATTGTGGGGAAAGGCCGAAATGACTGCGTTTTCCATACCAAAGGTTCACAGGTTATACGCAGGATAAGATTAGCGCTACCAGGTTGTTCTATTTCCGACCCAAAAACGTGCATCCTTGTACACTTGGTGACTCACCCATGAACTCCGAGTCCTATTAAGGGTCAAGCAGGGTCAAGCAATTGGAAAGAACAGGACAATGCAATCCATTAGACTCCCACTGTTAACATGGGCGTTGTAAAGGATCCTCTGATGACTTTAGGACAGGACATTGGCGTTTCACAAGGTTTGTTCATTCTCCCTTTAAGAGTACACCTGCTATCAACATGATTATAGCTCAAGGAACAAGAAGGAACACGATCTTTTGGGGACGAACCAAAGCAGTTTCTATAGTAGCTAATGTAATTAATCCCGAGTACCTATTAAAATACACCATGCTGGACAACCCTAAAGACGGTAATTTGGTACTAGTAAACTACCAACATGGTCGGCTTTGGTGTATTCTTCTAATTAGGTTCCAAAAACAACCCTAACTGCCCACCTCTGTCCAGCCTGTCTACCCACCATGACACGCCGCGTTTACACCAGCAGGTTTTCCTTCCCCCAATGGCACGGACTCATCTTTCGAAAGCTTTCGTTGTTAGTCTAATGAATAATCACTATTTTAATAAAGGAAGAAAGACCCTTTGATCTCGAGATTTTTTCAACTTTTGATACGAGTTTAAAACATGATTTATATAACATTTTCCTGGGTGACTTTTTGGTAAATCAATGATTCAAGGATCCTCCCACTGACCCTATTTTGGAGAACCCCGATTTCAGGGACCCCTTATTAAAAAAACAACAACAACAACAACAACAACAACCGCATGCACACCCGTTTTTGTTAATCGGGGGGGGGGTGCTTTCAAATAGGTGGAAGGGATGAATTGTATTTATAGGCTTCTATTTATTTGATGTGAAGATCTAACACACCGGCCCCCCATCTCATCAGTTGGCTGCCGGAGCGAGCTGCCTCCTGCACCAGCTCCGCGAGCTGCGCCAGCTTCACCGAGGTCCCGGTGGCCTGGGCGACCGACCGGGTCGACCGAGGTCGGTCACCGTGGATGGTGCAGCGACCGTGGGCACCTGCCAATGGTCGCCAGGGCTGCATTCTTTCACGTCTCCTGTTGATGGTGTTGGTTTGTATAGAGCGAAACAAAAAAACATGGGATTTGAAGGACTGAGATCTTTCTCTGTCCCCCAGGGTTTTCTTTCGATGGACTGTAAAAAATAAGACATTGGGGGAAGGCAAAGGGATACATGGACTGATACGCGCACTGTGGATCACCACGAACTAGCTGACACGCAAGCCACTGGTCAGATTGGACAAAGACTTGCCCAAAGTTAAGAATTTCTGGGGGAATCATGCGGGGACGATGAGGGGTGAATAAACGAGTTTGACTTGACTGCTCTTGGAATTGGGAAGCTGAAAACATGTCTCACCAGTGGTCCTGGGTGACCTGGGAGTTGGGGACCCACCAATCCCCCACAGGGCCGAGCTTCTGCCGTGTTAGTTTCGATTCCAATTCCCACCCCAACAGCGATATGGCACAATGGCATGCATGGAGTGTATGGGTAATGTATTCAGTGCATACAGTGAACAAATGGAACATTGGAGTTTTCCTCGCCTCTTTTTCGGTGAACAGTTGCCACCAACAGTGGACACGTGGACGCAGGAAGAACAAGCAAAGACAACGCCTGATTCCCCCATCCCCTCAGCTTGCGATCCTTCCCCTTTTCGGTGCTTCTGAGATTGGCATGCCAAAAACATCCAAAATCACACGTGACACCACCTGTTGGAAGGTTCTAGCACGTTCGCATCAAATGTTAAGAGGGCAAATATATGCTTCATATGCAGCTGCCTTGCCGGGCCTTGCTGGGTGTTTTACAAGTTTGCCAAGCAATGAAAGAACCACTGCTGAAGAACAACAAACATACGTGGACTCCTCAAATGATTAAACCTATCAATAAGATTTGATCTCTCTGTCTCTCTCACTTGGTGCCGCAAAGGATGTATGTCTTTAAAAGAACAAAGGGTCAATGGAAAGGAAAGCAACAAATCGTGGTCATTCCTGGTGCGCTGGACTCCCTGGGCCTTGGAGTCATCTTTCACATGCAGGCTGACCACCATGCCGAAAAGCAAAGAGAATGAGTTAGCTGAGTCTGCAAGAGCTAAGATCAGCAAAAACTTGCAAATTTCTTATGTTATTCCGTCTCAGAACTGAGCCCAGTATCTATTATGGGCGAACCGTGGAAAGCACCACTTGCAATTTGAACCAGAGTACGTTCAGGGTTCTTTTTGAGGCTATGTAGGCAATGTAGGCATATGGCTAAGCGCTTAACCAAGGGTTCTACAGGTCTATACGGGTAGATTGAATATCCTTTCAAAATAAAAACCACCCTGCAGAGAACACCGGTTTGCTTTAACTGGCCAGTTGTAAGTACAACTCTTGAATGATCCAAACAGAGTCAGAGTCACAAACACCCCTCGCATTCCCTCGCAGAGCCAGAGTCGATGTCTCTGGGATCAGCACCCCGCGGAAGATCTGATCCAGCAGCGAGGCAAAGGACTCTGGCTCCTGCCTGAAGATCCATGCAAATGTGGATCGCTCGAGCAAGGCTGAGCTGGGTTGACGACGGATTCAGCTTGGGTCGGTCAAAGACGGATTCCAGGAGATGCGATGTTTTTGAGATCCATTTTCGGGGGAACAGGGACCTGATTCTCAAGGATCATCGAGCTCAGATTCTGAGCTCCAACAACCCATCTACAATGAGCTGTGTATAGATTGTAGACTCCCGAATCAGCCTACTGCATTATGTAACTTGGACAAAGGTATGTCGGGGATGGCAGGATCGACCCTCCCGCCTGCCTGTGGTACCCCGCCACTGCGAAGCTCCAGCCGGCCTTGCGGTGGCTGCGCACACATCAAGTACACATGCAAACACACAAAAAGAACATAGAAAACAAACCTTGGTTGGCTCGACCTTGACATTGTTCGACAACCTATACAGCTAGAACTAGAACCCATTTGACAAGCTTTGACAGAACAATACCAAACATTTGGCTCCATAAAGACGCGACTTCCCTAGAAAGGTGATGCCTTGGATCAACATTAGGAACATTGCGTAACTATATTGAGCATTGTGTTGGATGGAGCAAAGAAGATGGACCGCAACTCTTTCACACAGCCGGCCGGCCTCTACAAGGGGCTCGCTCGCCGTCTCCGGTGGTCGTCTCCACCGCGTGGTCGTCGTGGGCGTCTGGAACGGAGGGAAGAAGGCCCACCGGACCCGTGGAGGGCTGAAATGAAGTTCTGAAGCTTCTTGTTCCTAGTAGTAAGAATGTTCCTAGTAAGGCCAGGATCCCCGTTCGTAATTACGTATCTTTGTTGGATCTTTTTGGTAGCACTCAGAGGCTAAAACGTGAACTGCCAAGACGGATTGCACACTCCTTCATGCCACTTCTCGCTCCGCACCTCCGCGCAGGCCGGACCTTCTTTTGGGGCTGAGCATTGCGCATTTCGTCGTGTTCCTTCGGAGCTGATTTCCGCTCCTGGCTTCAAAAACCACGGGAAAAGGGGGCGGACCAAAACCCACCCGTGCCGCACCGGGAAGCGGATGTTGCGTGCTTCGGAGCCGTCCAACCTGCGGGCCAGACTTTGGTACCCACTCAGAAGGCCTCAAAGCGAAGCCGAGCTGGCCATTTTCTTTGCCAACCGCTTCAAGTATTCACAAGCCCACATTAGGCAAGAGTGCGCATGGGGTCCGGGGTCTTCTGGTTGTTGAACTTGTACAAGGAGCTCAGGGTCTTCCAGCCCAACCTCACTTCGGACGCAGCAAAAACAAGAAGCACAACCTGAAATTTGTCAGGCGTGTTAAAAATTTACAGGGTCATCGGGGTTGGTGAGTGTTCTTCCCATACGACAAGCCCACCGTCCGTAGGACCGTCCGCTGATGAGTGTGTTTCACGGTCGGACCCGTCCAAACCTGGGTCTTTCCGTGAAATAAGCGAGGCAAGCATTGACCGGTGCAGCAGTGCATCGACATCTTCATGATGTTCAATACCCAGACACGACTCATGGGACTGCCATAGGACTGCCGATCAGTTGGGGTGGTTGACTGGGGGTCAATGTGGGCATATGGCATACATGGAGTGTGTGGGATATGATCAAGTTCTAACCACAACCCCCCTTTTTCTTTTTGGAGCTGAAGTTGCTGGGGTCTTCGATTCCCACTGTGGCATGAGTGGCAGAGGGGAAGTTGGCACGGAGTGGCAGAGCGGAAAAGGTCTCACGTCTCACGGCCAAGAAGTGCAGTTCCCCCCCTCCAGTTCGAGCATTTGTTGGGCATCCCGCGCAGCCAGCGCCAGTGAATTCCAACGGAGTCCAACGTCGGTACGCTGTGCGCGGCCGCTTTCCCGTGCGCTGTATGGCCGATCTGCCGATGCGACGAAAAGAGTCCACCCGATCTCCAAGTATCTCTATTGTTTGAGGGCCAGAAGCGACAAGAAGGACCCGTCATGTTCTGCAAGTGCCTCTTGTTTTGCACAAAAAATGGTTCCTTTTATGCAAAGAAGCACCCATGCTTTTGCATGGAAACATAGCCATAATGAAGGTCCATCCAAATAACACAAACAAGTTCAATGCTGTGCTATGATCTTCGAATGTATTCACAAGCCAGGCTTTTCACCTGCAAACATTACCGTTAGAGCCCGCGCCCAGCCATCATTCCCCCAAAGTCTGAACCACCTTACACTTTGGTGGTGAGCTAACATTCTGTGGCATCTCCTATCGCCCTGACCCCTCTGATTCATCATAATAACAAATCTATTCCTTTGGGACTCAAACAGTGAAGACAGTGACCCTCTCAATTGGGGCCTATTTAAATGAGCTGTCACTGGACCAAAGCTGGTGAACCCACAAAGCCCACAGTAGCACTGGTGTTGCTTCTCTTGGCTGTGTGACATGTGAATGACTGATCCACAGGAGGATCTGGACTGCAGAAATGTCTCAAGATCTGGCGCTGGGCCGTCGGCCGTTTTGGTGGTGGGATTTGATTCATTCATCATGTTTTTATGGTCTTCCAAGTGACTTCAGATCGCCCACAGGATCGTTGCCCTGCACCGTCTTGTAGAGGTAGGAGTCAAAGGTCACCTCAGATGTTCAACACCAGCGGGGCCACAGGCAAGGGTGTATGGCAGCTGTAAAGTTCTTGGTCCTTCATTTGGACCATTAGGATCCCACAACTGGTTTGGGTCGTCAAAACATCACCCAACTCAATTCAGTTGGTCAATTGGTCAGGAAACTGCTTTAGAGATCTTCGCAAGCCACACACCATCAAATTTCACCATTCGGGTCAACCGGTCTCATGACCAGTCCACATGATTCTACTACCTGTGATCTACAGAACCGCACAATCAAGATATATATATATATATTAAATAGCAATAGAATGCAATAGACCTAGATCCGAGGTCACCCAGGATCTTCAACATCTGACATTTGCCAAAAAATAAATACCTCTTCTAAGCTCATGGAATGGCAGCCAAACTGACAATACTGCACGACAACGGTGTGGGGTGGCGGGGTGTCAATCAGAGGTTTCTGTCGATGGAAATATATGGAAATAATGGCGTTGTGTGTGTGTGTGATCTCCTGTCAATGTATACACAAGATCCATCTCCCGAGGATTCATCAACCCCCAGTCCCAGGGCCATTTGTGTGCCGCAACACATGAACTTACACTTTCACCCAAAAACCTCCCAATGACAAAAAAGGTAGACTCTTTCTTCGCCCGATCCAATGGATCTCCGAGGTCTCCTTGTTCCCGCGCGTTCCGCACGTCCCCTTGTTCGCTCACGCCGTTTCTGCGTCGGATCTGCGCCTTCTGCACATATTCTTCCTCGCAAAGCTCCACGAAGCTCTCCCTGCGGTGCGGCTTCGTCCGACAAAGCCTCCCTGCGGTCCCACCCGAGGGTTGAGGAGTTTGGGCCAAGGACCAAGAGGCCTGGCGCCTTTTGGTGCCCATAGGGCAAAAAGGGATCAACTGAATTGAAGATATTTTTATGTTTCTCCCAAGAAACACAAACCATATGCTAAAATCATGTAAAAAATCCAACAAATGTCCAACCCTTGCAAAGGAGGCAATTGCCTGATCCTCCACACCAAGGGCCATAATGGGTCATGTTAGCACCATGTTTGCACCAAGCATGAAGAGGCTCTCATCGCTCCGAGGCGAAGAGCACCTGGCAGCATCACTGGTGTAGAAGACCTTCTGGAGCAAGTCGAGGACCAGGTAGGTGGGGCCATACCTAAACACACGTGGCTCCGCTCTTGGAAAACTTAGCCAAGTGCTTTGAAAGATGTGGTATGGTTACCACTATATAAGGACTGGTTACCAGCTGTAGTGGGAACTGGATGCCCTGGGCTTGGTATGGTTTGGTCAACCTGCTTTAGAGGCCTGTTTTTGGAGAACTCGATTGCTCGAGTGCAGCACAGGTGCTTTGCACAGGTGTTCGGCATGCAGGCGGATCCGGTGTTTGTTGGGGGCTTGGAGTGTTAGGATGAGGTTGGGCCAAAGGTGTTTGCATTCTTGAGTGGTATCTGCTCGCTATGAAGGTGACTGTCATGAGGAGGGATGTGTTCTTCAAAAATGCTTTACAGGTAATGAACACCAATGGAGTAAACAAACCCTGAGCATCCTTTGCATCAGTTATACGAGGAGGCGAAGGTGCATATGAGCGTCGATCATGATATGCAAATATATGCAGCGTCGATGGGTCTGCAGCCTGCAGCCATTTTGGCATAATTCATGTGCACCATATCTCACATGTGTTCTTGAACAACAAGGTTTTCACAAAGTCTTTAGAGTTCTCTTCAACAACCTCTAAAAGATGTAAACATTGCACCGGATTGACATCCAACAGGATCCTTTTCAGTTGCACTTCTCCACGGATGGAGAACACACCCATGGACACCGGGTTCCGGTCGACTGGTGGGGGTAGACCCCCTATGTCGTCCCACACAGGACTGGTCCAAGCCACTTGCCGTCCCATTCGCGCAGGTGCTCCATCAGGTCTGCCTGGCGCTCGGTCCAAGCCACTCCCGAACGTCGATCGCGCGTGTTCCAGAGGAGTACAGGAGAACGTCGACGCCATGGTGACACCAGTGGTGACACCCTAGCTGTGCTTCTTGGTTTGCCGAACCCCAAGCAGAACCGACCGACCCCGGCGTGTTGCGTGACGTCGACGTGGTGACGTGCACGGATCTCGGCACCTCGTCGATCATGCGGGCGCCCTGCTGGGAATTCTTCACCTGGGGCGGCTTCACTGGGGAATGGATCCGTGCAGGGTCGAATGGACCGTATCCAGCTACTCCAACGCTCCAAACCGCCCCCGGCTGCCGAAAGCTGGGGGATTGAAACCCCAGACTTCTCCACGCCTGGAACTTCCTCAGTGTGATTGATGTTGGATCGGCGTGGAAAACCATCCTTTGGAGTCACAGCCTTATCTGTGAGACTCCGGATGTTTCTCTAGTTGTCTGATATTCCATGGGCGTTTATACACAAGAGTTTAGGATCGTTGATTGGTGAGCCACGGGTGTTTCTACCTGAACGTGCTTTTTCGGTTGCGGAGGTTGTGTGGTTCACAGACCCAAATAAAGGTATGTTGAACTGCCGACCCAAAAAATAACAACCACGAAGTTGCAGGTATGAGGGTCTGGCCCGGCTGTACCCCATATCGGGTCCCTGTACGTCAAAGCTGTAGTTTACTACTGACATTCACAAACGCGATGTTTACCAGGTTAAACATAGACATGGTGAAATGATGCATATAAATTGTGTACGTGCAGCTCATATCATAAAGTTCAATCGTCTTCATGACCTTCATCCCGCCCAGCCAGAATATTAGTTTGATGATTGGATCTTTCAAAAATTAACATCATGCCACCAAACTTGCAAAGGTCTGATGTCGGTGATGTTCGATGAAGCGATCCATCATCAAAAGTCTGGTGACGAGCTATTCCCTGTCCCATCCCAGTCCCAGCCGGATAGATATTTTTTCTCGCTGCTCAGGAGTGACCCGGGTCATAACACCCCAAATCAAATTCTCACCGTCAAGTTATTGTTGACAACTTCGGGAACATGATGAGAGATACGCCTGATCAGGAGTAAAAGGTCAGACATGGCTAGGCGTGAACAGCAAAGCCTGTGCATTGATCCAGCCATTGTTGTGTGGGCGCCAACAAAGAACGGTTAGTTGATCGCATTAAAGAGCCATGAGCCCACGGTCGGCACGCCCAAGACGTCCAAGGCGCAATGGTCTCGGCACACATGCGCCCACCTGACGGTCAGGTGGGTCGTTGACGAGTCCTTTTTGCTCAGCGGCGATTGAATTGCGGCGACCTATATATATATATATATTAGAGAGAGAGAGAGAAACAAATGAAGGCTAAAAACCAGTGTTGAGACGTTATACTTACCAGCGTGCTCTGCACATCTCTGACCTAACCTATAAAGGCAAATGCACGCAACAAAACAGTAATAAAACATTTGTCATGCAAAACAAAGAAAACGTGAAACGACCTTCCCAGTTGGGATCACTGGAGCCAACAAAGAATCGCATGGATTCGTTCACGATTTATACGGGACAATTCTTTCACGGACTGCGCAACCAGAGTGGCGCTTGTCACTGTGTTTGGTGTTCTTTCCTTGCTTAAAGTGAGGCTTGATCCTCTTACTAAGAGAAGAAGCAACAGTCATCGAACAATCAAGAGGCTCATAATCCTTGCCCGAAGCCCTCTGCATTTGTTGGCCCTCTTTGCACAAAGGCTGGCACCCGGCCCGTCGTGGTGACCCACGAAGAGGGGGAGTAACGCACCCAGTGGCACTCAGAAAAGGACTGAAAGCCGTCATCGGCCAACACAAGTGGACCATCGAAGTTGGGGAGGCGGATCATTCCACTAGTGTGGTATCTGGGGGTGTATGTTGGTATTTGGTCTGAAGGTATCATTAATTTCGCTCAAAACATATTACACATGCTTATAATCAAGTACACTGCGTAGTTCACTCTAGTGCTGCTGGTTCAATCGTAGTTTCTCCTTTTCCCTGGCCAGTGTGAGAGATCCGATAGCGACACACCCAAAGAATCCTCACATGTTTACAAGGGTCCGACCAGGAATTTCCCTTTAGAAACTCCGACTAGAATAGAAAGGCTTGTAAGGTGAATTCTGAATGGAATAAGAGGCCACCCAGGCCACCCAGGTCACCCAGGTTACGTTGAGTTTGGTTGATGTCCTCGTCGACTGGAATGGAGTAACCCATCTGAGACTTGGAACACACAGGTTTTAGTATGTAGTTTTTACTTTACAAGTGAGTGAATTGGGAATAGTTTGGATGGTATCCAACATTTTGAGCCACTGCCAATAATATGATCCTTATGTCGAGTCCTACACAAATTGTCACTACAATTGGACCAGATAAATAAAAGTAAAAAGCACTTTGGGAAAACGGCTTGCCAAAAGTCTTACTTGGCTATTCTTCGGTCACCCACATAATTATATATATATATGTATATTTGTAATATTTGATAAACATCACTAAACCATATACCAAACCCACTAAAGCAAGAACAAGTACCCACTATAACAACCCCATCCTTTCGTGCAAAAAGAGAACGACGGAGGCTCTTGGGCCGCCAGGCTCTTGGCCGCGAAGTAGATGCCCTCGCCGGAGCACTTGGTCACGTAGCCCGCGGCATCGCCCACCAGGATGGAGCGGTCCTTCACACGCCAAGGGCGCGGATGCTCCGGGATCCTCGGCCGTGCGCGGCAGTGCGCGCCGCGAGTGCGCCCACGGTGTGTTTGTGTTGGTATGATGTTGCAGGACATGAGATTGGAGACATAGAAACATGGGATGAGACTGCCGGGGTAGGTTGGAGATCAGGAGGTTGTGTCATGTTTAGAGTTTAGTTGGAATTTCATTTGAATGTCAAGCAAGGGCCTCAAGGGCAATCTCCAGGGATCATGAGCTTTAATATATTGAAAGTCCAATGAACTATGATATAATATATACAAACAATAACGATATATATATATAAATAACCCAAATATCCCAAAGATGGGATGAACATTGAAACGATCTTCCAAAGTACAACCCACCAAAGATGTGTTTTGTGCGTGCAAATGTGGGATCGATGGTTTCTAAGGGTGGTGTGGACCACATGGAACCTAAGGGACCAAAGAGCGCTCCTACGGAATCCTACTTGGAAACACAAGACGTGTTTTCATAGTCCCAAGGGGGATTCACCCGGAGGGAAATTAAGAACATCCCCTCTTGGAGTCATTGCTTAACCTCAACTTTCTAACTAAAACTCCCCCCGGATGTAAAGCTGGGTGCTGGACTAATGGAACCTGGAGCAAAGTCCTGCCAACATCTTCAACACCCCACTAATGCAGGGTATTGAAATAGGAAAACCTCCTTTGGCGGCATGGTCGGTTCGGGCTAAGACAAGTTGGAAAGCCACTAAAGCCACAAAGACCTCCCTATCTACCCTACTCTCCCCCAGTCTCACACCACCTGAGAAGGTGAGGACGACTACCAGACACCTTGCTTACAAGAAGTGTTTGGAGTTGTTTTAGGCATACTACACAACACACTCATTTCATGTCATATACTACGCAACACAACAATACTACACAACAACATATATACTACACATGTCATAGAAACATTCACATATATACTACACGACGCAACGCACCCATTTCATGTCATCCACGCTCAGTTCATGTTCATGTCATCCGCCCGCACCAAGCTTCGGGTGCGCCTCCACTCGGATGATCTTGCCACCCTCGATCCGCGGCGCGGCGCGGTCGCGGATGCCCTGCTGGTAGAGCTTGATGCCCTGTCGGACGGACGGAGTGGGTGTGACGGACGGAGTGGAGTGCTTGGTGGGTGGATGCCTTGGGCCTTGGGGCGCGGGCTTGGGTGCATGGCAAGTCTTGTCTGCAAGTCTTGTCTGACTGCTTTGATGTAAAAACACTTTCTGAAGGCAAGCAACTCAAGACCTGTGCTTCAAGCTTGGGTCCTGAAGCTCTTTTCCACCTGACATCTTCATCTCCTTCCTGAACAGCATGCAAAGAAAACTCTTCTTGTAGCATCCTGCAACAGTTCGCTGGACAGGTGAGTAAGCCCTTGTGAAGGGATGGCTCTCAAGATGCAAAGATCACCTATATATCCCCCACCGAAGATGCAGGCTCCCAAGATGCTGGTGAAGGGATGTGTTCCACCTATTGTATCCTCAATCACTCACTGGAATCATCATGGAAGTGGAACATGGCACCTGAGAGGACCATCTTCCGAATGAACAGTGGTGCTTTTGGCCCTCCGACCAGGTGATCTCTCCCCCATCCCTCCCCCTCGCCTTTTTGTCCACCACGGTGCCGGTGCCCACAGCCACGTGGTCGCACTTCGGGAAGACCCACGCGTAGAAGTCGGGCGAAACATCCTCGCCCACATACATCTCAGCGCGGTCCTTCATCTCACAGCGGTTTGGCCAATCGGTCGACCAACATCTTATGATGATTCTGAGTTTGAAGCGGAAAAGGGGGGGCATACTCTTGTATAAAGCGATGATGTTGTTCCTTCTGTCATTTCTAGCATCAAAAGCAATCTCATTCTGACCCTGGTGGCATGTTCCACGATCCCCGGAAGGGATCGTGGGTCATTGCCATTCATGGTGCCACATATTCAGGCTATTTGAGGCTACTTCCGTGCAAGTCGATGGTCAACTTGGGGATGTGAAGAAGGTCAAGTAGGCAACAAACAAAATCTATCCTTGAGTCCCACATAAGAATCCACTGTGGTCATACAATCCAGCACTAGCAACTAGACACACCAAGTGTTTTTTCCCACCAAAAAACACAGATGATATTTGTTTTACCGAGACCGATGACAGGCACCCTACTGATAACAGGTCACCCTGACAGGCACCCTGGGCACACCTGAATAACAATGACAAACAATCCTACTAGCGATGGCCTCCACCCTACTAGCGATGGCCTCCAACCTACGCTATTCTGACTATATTCTCACATTCTCCAGTCCTTGTAATACTCCATCTTGTCATCAGGGATGGTCATGCGCTCTTGGAATGCAATCGCGTACCTCAGAAGTCCGTTGGAATGCTTTCTCAAATCCAGCAGGCAGAAACAGGTAGTCATGGTTCCGTTGGAGGGCCCAAGCCCAAGCCTTGATACCTTCAATTCAAAACTTAACATATTGTTCAATAAAGAAGTAGAGTCGACGAGGCCAAAACAAAGCAACATGTTTACATCACAAATCCTCTTCATCCTCACCTCGCCTGCAATTCTTTATCACCCTACAACTTCCTTCTTCTCATCCTATAGCTGCAGGTATACCTCCTTCCGGTAACTACACGTGAGCTGGAAAAAACTCGTACTAAAATCCTGATCCCAACAGCAAATCATGCGATTTCCAAGCTGGTGGTGGTAGTAGTAGCAGCAGTGGTAGTAGTAATGGTAGTAGTAGCAGTCGCAGTAGCAATAATAGTAATAAAGATAGTAGTAGCAAGCAGCAGCAGCACCAGCAGCAGCACCAGCAGCAGCACCAGCAGCAGCAGGAGCAGCAGGAGCAGCAGGAGGAGGAGGAGGAGCAGGAGCAGCAGGAGGAGGAGCAGCAGGAGCAGCAGGAGCAGCAGGAGCAGGAGGAGCAAGAGGAGCAAGAGCAGCAGCAGCAAATACATGATGTACGTAGTTTAGGAGGTCGTTCCAATGTCGTTTTGGATGTCGTTCGGAGGGTCGTTCCCCAGCTAAATGACACATTCCACAAAGACAGAACACATCAGAAATAGCTGAGGAGGCAGATCGAATGATAGCTCGCCAGGCTGCTTGGTTGTCAAGGAACCACAGGACGTCACGATTTCTGAGAAGCTCTGGAGCAGATAGTGCGAGCAAAGGAACGGCGAGTAGTTCAAGTAGGTTGATGTAAGTCCGGCGAGGTGCCCAGGTCACAACAACCTCTTTGGGAACATCAATGCTGTCAACCCAAATACGCTCATCACACAAGATCCAAATGCCTAGGCGGAAGCCGAGCGGAGTTGGCGCAGCAGTGGATGCGTCAGTGTAGACGATGACGGGTTCCGTGAGTCGGGGGTATACGGGCACACGGCGAGATGGTACGATCGAGAGGGCCAGCTGCAAGTACTGAAGGCAGAGTGCCAAGCTGGGAGTTAACGCATTGGTGTGGTCGAAGTACTGCCGGGCGATGAGGCCGGAGAAGGCAGCCGTAAGAGGTTTGCCCAAGAGCGACATTTCTAACCAATTGAGGAGGCCACGGGCCTTAGCGGCTTCAGCAGGTGTGACACGACCACTGGACAAGAATGCGGACAACATCCGCAGCGCTCGCTGTTTCGTTTCAGGACAAGATGTGAGGGTGACAACATGCTCGTCATTGAGACGGGAGAGGTCAGTGACCATTCCCAAAAAACGGGGCATGGAGGTCATATGTTGGCGCTTATGGTGTCCTATGAGAACGCCAAAAGTCTCCAAAATGCGGATGAACAGAGTCTTGTGAGCACCAGCGAGGTGGGCATACTCAAACTGTATAGAATCATCAAAATAATGTCCGGCAACCATCGAAAAAACACGACGACAAACAGCAGTGAAGAGTTGCGGGGCACGATTAAATTGATTGACGGCCGACGCAAGGCCGAATGGCAGACCGTATAACTGAGCATAGACACGTTTTTTGGAATGTGGATGAACAAAAGTGATGATGTTTACACACATATGATCTTTCAAGGGATGGTTTTGGCGGTAGCCCTTCCAAAGGTCTTCCGTGCCAGCCACAACCTCAAGCCAAGGCATATGTTGAGGTAAGTCGCTGGGGGAAGCTCATTCATGCCACTAGGGTGGCTGATCATAGGGTAGCTCATCAACAGTGCTGAAACCATTTGATTTCATAGCAAATAATATTGAAACATAGAGAAACATTGCTAATCATTAGAAAATATTAAAACAAATTATTAAACATTAAAACAAATTTTTCCACATTAGGAATACTTACAAAAAATTATCACAGCTGCTGCACTCAGTCATCTCTATGACACTCTTTTTTCACCTCCCATCATGAGGTTCTGCTGTACTTGGTCTTGGGTGGTAACTGACACAGTATGCTGTCCAGTTCTTTTAGAATGGAATCAGCAACCTCTCCTGGTTTCTGAACTTTGGATTCTGAAAGTTTGTACAGAACTTTTGTAGACAATTCTTTTGTCCACACTTTCCAAGCATGAGCGTGTACCTCCTTTAGCTTGGATTGCCAGTGAACTTTGTCTTTTGCATTGAAAGACCTGGAAAAGGATGGTAGCTTCAGTGAAGCATGGAATGCTGCTGTCCATCTGTGATCATTGCCTCAGCTGCAGGGAATGAATCAACACTTGGGCATTCACTCCCTCAAAGTTGGAACACCCCAATTTGGGCAACCTTCAAAAGACTGTCTCTAAACTGTGAAGAACCCTAACTTGTTTGTTTTGCATCTAAAAAAGGAAACCAGGGAATACTGAACTTCACCAAGTATCTGTTCAACCTAAAGCTGCAACCAGGTGGGCAAATTTGTTGTAAGATCAGTGGTGACTGGTGCAAATTTGGACCCCTAGGCTTGGATGCTGGTGGTTCAGAAAGGCCTGCAACAGATGCAGGTGCTTTTGTGTGGGATGCTGATGCTTCAGCAGGTGCAGGTACTTCTGTGTGGG